TGGCCGAGGCACCATGGGCCAGTCCTTTGCTGTTTCCAGGGAGGCCCCGTGGGCCAGGTCTAAGCACCTATCTGACCCGCGGGCGGCGAGTTTGACACCCCTTATCTATTAACATCCAAAAGATTCATAAGTCTGTTCAGTTTATATGCGGACTAATTTTACTTTGACATTTCTCAAAGCGATTTACAGGTAGTCCTCGGCTTACAACATTCAGTGACCGTTCAAAGTTACAGCGGCACTGAAAAAAAGTGACCCATGACCGCTTTTCAGTTACGACCTTTGCAGGCTTTCTATGATCGCGATCTCAAAATTCGGCCGCTTGGCAACTGATTCATATTTGTGGCTGTTGCCGCTTCCCCGTGGTCATGTGATCAAAATTGGGATGCTTGGCAACTGACTTACATATATGACGATTGCAGTGTCCTGGGGCCATTGTGACCTACCGACTAGCAAAGTCAATGGGGGAAGCTAGATTCACTTAACAACCGTGTGACTCACATTGTCCCGGAGGGAACTCATGGGCATGAGGCAGACCGGCAAGCTAAGCTGAAGCCCGAAGGCAGTTTTGAAACTCCCGTTCAAACAGAGCAGGAGAAAAAAAAAAAAGGAAAATATATTCCAATCATTTTTTTTTAATTTTGAAAAATGCCAATAAAGGTAATTGAGAGCAAATCTAAGCAATTCTCACAGGTAGTCCAGGTTGGACTGAGTCTAAACTGGGAGGAGTCACCAGGGCTCGATGACATCACAAGTGTAGACTCAGTCCAATTGGTTACTGGCTGCTGTCTCCACGATCATAGGAGGATGGGGCAAAACTCACTGAACCAATGTTTCACTTAATTAATGGAAATTTTGGGCTCAATAGTGGTCATAAGTCAAGGATGAGCTGTATTCTCAATCAACCAAAGCAAAGAACACATTGAGAAACCAGCTTCCGGCACCGCTTGAAGGTTTAGCTACTACTGACAGGATTTTGGTTTGGCTACTACTGATCGTATTTTGCAACACGAGAGAGCTCTCCGTGGTGACTTTGCCAAAGGACTTACCACTGGCCCTCCGGATCGCTCTTTTCCCCTGACGCCTCCTTTACGGAAGCAGAGTTTTCGGCCTCTTCTGACATGGCACTGTGCTCCGTGGCTGGCAAAGAGACGGGGAGGCTGGCAGTGGGCTCCCGCTCCGGCTGCTCCCCATTTTCGCCGCTGTTGTAGCCATCGGTAGCAGCGCTGCCGTTTCCTCCCCCGGCCGCGTGAGGCGACATGCTCAAGAGAGAAAAGTTTTCTGCTTTAGAGCCGCTTTTTCGGGCTTCTCGCTGCCTCTTGCGGTATTCCAGAAGCGACACCTAGGAAAGAAGCAAAAAGGAAAAGGTGATAAAGCCCCAAAAGGCTCTTGTGCGCTGTAATGGCGGCACGATTTTGAAAAGAGGGTAAAAATGATCTGTGTCAGTTTTTGTCACAATCATCATAGAGTTTATTTTATTTTGTCTTCTTTGACCGTCCGAATAACAGGCCGATTCATTGTCCCAAAGGGGCTTTTTCAAAAGGCAACTGGACTTGGTTTTTCCTTGAAGAGGTTTCGCTTCTCCTCCAAGAAGCTTCCTCAGTTCTGAAGAAGGACTGAAGGAAAAACGAAGCCCGGCTGCGTTCTGAAAAAGCAGTTTGGGGACAACTATGACCTGGATGACTGAGAATCTCCTTAGATATGCCAACGAATTCATTGTAGTATTCTAAAAGCACCAAGTCTCACAAATTAATTTAAAAATATTTCACACATTGGCCTTGGCTTGCTTTTCTATTAATGTAGAAATTTCTGCTTATGAAGCACCGACAGGTAGTCCTCAACCTATGACCAGTTGCTTAACGACTGTTCGAAATTACAACAGACTTCAAAAAAGTCACTTGCAATCCATCTTCAAATTGACATGAACCCCATGTCGCATCACTGCATCCCTAATCACGTTATGGACATTTCCCTTCACAAGTTTACTTCAGACTAAGCTGCTCCAGTGCTGTAGATGATCAGCTTCCAACCTCCAACTACAGGTAGTCCTCGACTTACAACGATTAGTTTATAGTGACCGTTCAAAGTTACAACGGCACTGAAAAAAGTGGCCCAAGACCGTTTTTCACTTACAACCACTGAGGCATCCTCAGGGCCACGTGATCAAAATTCAGACAGCTAGTAACTGTCTCATATTTATGACGGTTGCAGTGTCCTGGGGTCATGTGATCCACTTTTGCGACCTTCTGACAAGCAAAGTCAACGGGGAAGCCAGATTCCCTTAACAACCGTGTGACTAACTGTGGCAAGGAGGGTTGTAAAACGGGGCAAAACTCACTTAACAAATGTCTCGCTTAGCAACAGAAACTTTGGGCTCAATTGTGGTTATAAGTCGAGGAGGACTTACCTGTATACCTTCATTTTATATTTATCTACTCCTGTGGCTTTGGAGAAGCATAAAAAGGCACAATTGAAGTCTACAGAAATATTTGCCTCCAATAGTGAAAATTAAACTTGCTAGTCCATAAATTGATTCGGTTTCCCAGTGGGCACCTACACTAAAGCCTTTGAAAAATCGTTAAGAAAATAAATTTATGGACAAGAAGGAAATGCCTTCCTAGTGTTGTCTTGCGCCTTAAGTTAAAACTTCCACTTGAGTTGGTACCTTTTTCTTTTGGGGAGGATTCTGGGGTGTGCAATTGCCATCCATCATGTTGTCACTGTTGGCCGTCCTTCCAAAACTAGTGGCGAGTCCCTCTTCAGAAGTACAAAACACGGGCGTTTCCACAAACATGCCCCGAGCATCGTCTGGAATCAGGCACTTTGACTCGTTGATTCGGAACCCGCCACCGACTTCTAACTGGTGCGAAGGAGTTAAGTCTCTCAAATTAGAATTCATGGAGAAATTGACACCTGTCCTGTCGGGACTGTTGATCCAGGTTGGATACACTGGTCCCCGCCCGCAGTGAGCCGTTTCCAGTTGGCTGTTTGCATCAGTCCGGTTGTGGCAGGGAGCGTCCAGCGTTTTATGCAGTGCACTTTGCTCGATGACTTCAAGTCCCAGCTGGAGCTCGGCAGAGGGGCTCTCTTTTTCTCCCGAGCACTGCCGGGGGCCATCAGACCTGCTCCTGGGACTGGAGTAGCCAATCGTTTTGATCTCTTGCAGGCATATCTCCGTAAGGCTGGCATTTCTGAACGGATTGAGCGCTAGCATGGAGGAGCAGGAACGTTCGTAACCCTGTCCAAAAAAAGATGGTGGAGGGGACAACTTAGGGGAAATCGTGTAAAAACCATTTGCCTAAATAAAAGGTCTCTTCGTGGTAACTATTCCGCTAGTTGCTTTTAATGTAGAGTTTCATTTTTTCTGGATTCGCTTTTAAAGCGAACTTGTAGATCTATTTAATGGAGATTTATAAAATATGTGAGGTTTTTCCTTAAGGGTACAGGTGTGTTCGTATAGACACTCCTATGTTTTTATTTCTCTTTGTTCTTTCACGTTATTCTATTTTTCATATTCCCGTTGTTCTCTTTTTAAACTGCTTTTCTGAAACAATCTTTGAATCATAGCTGGGAACTATAAATATTCCGAAGAACTGAAAAGTTCTGGAAGAATAGCGAAAGTTAGTTATTCCAATTAATTGTATTGAGATTAATTGAACCTGAGATGGAAGACACCAGATGGATTCTTTATGAATTACATTAAAAGACAAGAGTGTTTAAACACTTTGCCATATCTAGATTGCATATCTGTTATTTTATTTTTAGTATATTAAACTTTATGTACATTCCATCAACTTTTTTCTTTTAAAAGAAAATCCTATTTACATTGTGAAAGTAGGAAGTTGGACCCTAGGAACTATTAATCAGGATTTCACATATCTTTTCTTATCTCTTATGATTTACTGTCTGCAAATGTGTATTCCTACATTCTAAGAATTTACAGTGTAGAATAAGGATTTACAAAACAGACCAAAAAAAACGCCCCACACAAACTTACCTCTTGGTTAAATGTTCGCCTCTTCACTTCTGGAGAACTGTCAGGTGAAGAAATATTCTGCAGTTTAAAAAAAAAAAAGGAATGTTTAAAAACTGCAGAACCAAATCATTCCGATGATTTTTGAAAATAAGGAACGAAATAATTTCTCTTCAATTGTGTAAAGCTACCTATTATTCAGTTAAGGGTTGATTGCATTGCAGGAGCTGACCGAGTATGAAACCTAAAAACAGGACATGGGGCCGTGATCCACTCTTCCTCTTTAGGAACATTTTTCATAGGCTTCTAAAGGTAACAGTATTGCAAGTAATCCTGGACTTACGACTACAACTGAGCCCAAAATTTATGTCGCTATGTGAGGCGTTGGTTAAGTGAGTTTTGCTCCATTTGACGACTTTTCTGTTTAATGACCACAGTTAAGTGAATCGCTGCAGTTGGTAAGTTAGTAACCCTGATTGTGAAGTCGTCGTGAATCTAGCTTCCCCATTGACTTTGTCACAAAAGGGATCAGATGATTTTGGGACACAGCAAAGGCTCATAAATATGAACCAGTTGCCAAGTGGCTGAATTTTGATCACATGATCGTGGGCATGCTGCAAAGGGCATAACTATGAAAATTTTTTGTAAGTCAGATTTTACAACAGTGCAGTGTTGCAACTTTGAACAGCCACTAAGTGAATTGCTGTAAGTTGAGGAATACCTGCATAGCTTTATCCTTCACGAACAGAAGTTTTTTTTTTTATTATTCTGAAGCAATTAAGCAGTTGCTTTATACCTAACAAAATAAAGCAACGGAGTAGCCAAAGGCTCACCTCAAAGTGCACTGGGTTTCCATGGACACATGGAATCACCGAAGTAACAGATGAATAAATAGGTTTGTAACCATTCCTACAGGTGTCATCTTCCGTTTTTATTCTGGGAGGCGTGGCCAGCAACAAGGGGTCCGAGGCAGAGAGATCAGGGTGGGTGGGCGTGGCATATGGAGAAGGAGTGGGCGTCGACGTTTCTGAGTAGGTGGAGTCCTGCAGCTGGTACTGTCTTCGCTTTTTGAGTGGCGTTGTCAGATCTGTAGGTAACAATGGGGAGAAAAAGCAGGAGACCAATTAAGTCATTTTTCTTGGTCGTACGGATAGTGTAGCGGGTTTCAAACAATGTGTATTTAGAACAGGTTCATGAACTCGTCACTGGCTGCAAAATGAACTATCGTTTTAAAGAAATAAACACTTGTGGATGATTTAAACATTTGCTCCATGATTTAAAACTAATGTGCGGTAAGAACTTTACCTAAGAAGACAACGACTTAGGTGGTTTGGACACGTTTGCCGTATGGACAATAGCCGATTACCTTACCGATCGATTAACTTGCTGCGACCGGATGGGTGGAAAATCGCACGAAATGCCCCAAAGAAAACGTGGATATCCCAAGTGGCTCACGATCTTCAACCACTCCATTTTTCAATAACCGATGCCCAACAAGCCGCCCTAAATCGGGATCAATGGCGTGCTGTAATCCGTGACGTCCTGCGTCCTTCACAATGCAATGGTCACTGCCTTATGGACGTTGACATTTACGAAGAATAAGTCCAAGTAAGTCCAAGTACTGCTAATAAAATGTCCTTGATCAATTGATCATCAGCAAGTATAACTAAATCTATAACAGCTGAAATTGTAGGAGTTTCCTGGTCTCCGGCATTGAGGATGTGTGTTACCACAATGCCAAAGAGTAAAGACCTCAGCTTAATGATCTTAAGAGAAGAAATTGTTGCTGCCCATCAACTTGGGAAGGTTTAAAAGGCCATTTCCAAACAATTTAAAATCCATATTCTACATTGAGGAAGATTATTCACAAGTGGGAAACATTCCAGACAATTACCAAT